AACAGGTAAAAATTGTTTTTTGTTTAATTATTAATTATTAAAATTATTGATATTGAAGGGAAGAAAATTTTATCGATCATTAAATGATACAAATAAACAAAAGGTTAATTAAGAATGATTTTTATTTTCCAAAAAAAAAAATATTTTTCTAGGTTATTTGTTTTTGTGATATGGATCAAAAAAAAATTTCAAAAGGATTTTATACGGATGAATTATCTAAAGTAAACAAATTTATTGTTTGATCATCTTCAACAGATATAATCATTTTTTTTTAATAGGAGAAACGTCGTATTCCAGTTATTCATTTTATACAAGCCATTCCTCCAATTATTATTTGTGTCAAACTTGTGAGTTTGATTATTTGAACATTCTATAATAGATTTATTTATTTTTAGGGTTTAACAAATAATGATTTTGAAACAAATCTTGCTTCAATGAATCTACGTGAAGGCTTAGATTATTGGCTTTTTAGTTGATAAACAAAAGAAAAACGATCTACTTAATTTAATAGAGTTTTTCTTTTTTTGTTTTAACAAAAAATATCAAATAGCATCATTTTTCTATTTTAACAGTGATGAAACAGAAATTTCATTTTTTCCTTTATTTACGAGCACGTTGTTTTAGAAGTTTACTGACATAGGCAAAAGTTCCAAGGGAAAACAACATTGATTTATGCATAACAACAAAACAATATAAAATAATAATAATGAAATACCAGATTAGATGTATTGTCATGTTTGTGTACTGTTGAGTTTTTTGAAACCAATTAGTGTTCGACATAATAAAACATTCTTTTTAGATAATGACAATAACACAATTACTTGATTTACCCAATGAAATTTTCCCATTTATTTTTCAATATTTAAAGTCTACAAATTTGATACAAACATTTTCCAATGTAAAATCTCTTCGAATTCAAGCACTCATTCAATCTTTCCTTTCACATCTTGACATCTCTCAAGAAACTGATCAATGGATTCAAACTTATCTACCGATTTTAATCAATCAACAAAATATTGTTGCTCTTCGTTTACAAGATAAACATATTAAATTCATTTCGAAAGATTTACTATTAAGTAAAATTCACTCAATTCATGTATTTAGCTCAGATTGGAATACTGATTTATTAAAAGAAGGACTTGATCATTTTCGACAACGTTTAAAACAACTTTCTATTACATTTACATGTTCTCATGGAAAAGGAGATATTGGTAGTTATTTATTTAAATTTGATTCTCAACTTGAACATCTTAATATTATTGGGCGGTTTCTATTTTTTAATAAACATGAAATTAATACTTGCACTCAATTGACACATCTATCGATTGAACTTGAAGGAATGCACAGTGTATTCATACTTATAACACATCTACCCAATCTTCAGCAATTAAAGGTTAACTGTAATGTTTTTTTTTTTAATAATTTATTTATTGTTTATTTGTGTTTCATTTGTAGGTTAAATTTCGAGTGGAAGAACGTATAATTCAACCAACATCCTATGCTGAAAATGTAACCTTGTGTAAAACATTACATCGTGTTACTTTTACAGGTTGTACAAAATATTTCGAACATGTCGAACATTTTTTTACTATATTTGGATCAACAATTAAATGTTTAACTATCCATATTGACTTGATGTATTATATTGTCGATGGTAAACGACTTGAACAAGAATTATTGAGTAAAATGCCATGTTTATCATTACTTGATCTAATCATTCATTCAATTATGACTCATTGTAATCCAATAGAAATTGAAACATTTCAAAATTCATCTTGGCAAAATTTTAACCCTATTGTATATTGGAATGATATTCATGCTCATCAACATACAATTTTCACATTACCATATAGATCAAGTCGAGTAAGAACTTATTTTAAGCGAAATAGACATTTTAATTATTTCTTCTTTTGTGGAACTTACATTATGTTATTTGAAGAAAAATATAATGAGTGTAAGTTTAATATCAAGACTTTATGACTTCTTGGCATAACAATCAAGAGCAACAGGCATTAGATTCATTTCCCATATCTCCTTAATAACGGAAAAACGATATTAACAACAAGACTTACAAAGAAATCTCTTCAGCTGCGCTCTTTTCATTTTCATGATTTTTCTGTCGGTAGATACTATATAATCTTCTGACAAAAGCACTAAAAGGATATGAATTCAGTGAAGATCTAGGTGATCGCTGTGAAGTCTAGATACGAAAATGCATTGATTTGTCACCATCATCATATAATCAATATAAAAAATGTGAACTGATCAAGTTGTAACTTTAGGAAATAGTCAATATCAGTGTTTGTGAACGTACTGAGATATATAACAGTGTATTGAGACCTGATGTGGATATAATGATTACGTAGAACAAGTTTATTTGTCAGTTAAATCGACGACTAAAGTAATAATAATACTAAATTAAGAAAAATAGAATACGAAAATCGAAAAAAAATGAGCGAATAGCAACCAGACACGCTAAAAATAGAAAAACTTTTTGTTCAGAATGCAAAAATAAATAAGACAGATCGTTTTTCTAGTGGTTAATTATTCTTATAAAACAACTACAGTCTGCTAGAGACTTTTCATATGACATATTTTGTATGAATATAATGACAGTAAAGAGCACATGTGAGTTCCACACTCTAGTCTCAAATGAGTTGCGCTGAAAAGTTATTTTTTATCTTCTTTTTTTAGTTCGAACATCTTTCAAATGATTTTATTTCATCTTGTATATCAAATCGAACAGTTTCTCTTTGTTTTGAACGTGTTCGTATACTTTCACTTATCTCTACAACACCATTAAGATTAGAAATATTCGAATTTATTGAACAAGCATTTCCAAATATTGAAACACTTGAATTAACAAATCCATTCAAATTATCAAGATTTCAACACGAAAATAAACGAACTAGACATACTTGTCCCATGAGTGATGTTTTTATTTCAAATAATAATTTACAATTACCTTCGATTACTAAATTCTGTTTTCTTTTACAATCACAGTATGATGATTATCAAATTTTTCGTCGTTTTCTTCATCTTTTACCTAGTTTAGTTTCTTTACAAATGTTTATTGGACGATCGTTATTTCATGAAATCTTAATACATGAAAATGAAGATAATTTTATTCGAAGTGCATTAAATCGTATTAAAATTTTACAAATGGTTCGTTTTTATGATGAAAAAAATGTCTTAAGCAATGAAGAAATGAAAATTCTCTTTCCAAATGCTCAAATAATTTTTGGTCATGATGACCGTTAGCAAATTTTTGTACATCAGTGATAATGTAATAAAAAATTATTAGTAAAATGGTAGTTTATAAGAACGATTTTTTTTTTTATTTTAAAATAAAAATATATATATATATATACGTCGGGTGAGGCAAAATGATTGTAACATCGGCTGCTTTCATATATCTTTGTACAGACAAATCACTCGTTTAGATTTTTTTGAACCTTTTCTTTGTCGAAATATTACTGAAATATGTTCATGGAAAAATAATAATTATGAAAGAATCGAAGAAAATGTAATAGCTTATGTCCACATAACAAGCATATGTGTTTTGCTGAGGCAGCAAAAAGTTATTGTCAGCTACAGTGGAAACAAGAGAGTAGTAGCGTAGCCAGGAATTATAGCCATGATCGTCCATGAAACAATTTTTCTATGAATGATTGATCTTCATGGTTTCTTGGATGTGGATTGAGCTTAAGTTAAGTAAATTAGTCTTGACATGAAAGATTGAACTGAACAAAACATGATTTTTCAAATATTTCTTATCAATTTTTTTTGCATCAGTTTTTTTCGAAAATATATGTTGAATCCTTTGGAAAAAAAATCCGTTTTTTCTCCAAAGTGTTGTCACAATGGAAAGATCTGTTTTTATTAAGTTGTGAAGCGCTATTTTCTCTTTAATTTAAAATTTTTCTGAGCTTTCTAGCATATCAAATGGATCAGCAATCTGGACGCACGATTAATGAAAAGAAGAGTCGTTTTGAGAAAAACACCAAATAAAGTTTTCAATTGAAAATCCATATTTCTGTTTCGTAAAACAATAGAAGAAATACATCAATTATAATCTACCATTTATTATCAACTGTGGTGAAACAAACGAAGACATGCGTATTTATAAAACGTTTAAAAGTTTGAATCTATCATATAAAAAAACTTGAGATACGAGTTGTAATTATTCATTTTGCTCATCCACATTAATAATATCAGTTGCTTAAATAAACAAAACATGAAAAGAAGAAGAAAGGAATGATTATAAATGTGAAACAATGACGCCTAAGAAAGAGAAGAGAACTCACACTTATGTTAGAAGACGTCTCTTCTGCCATAGTACCATTAAAATAAGTATAGAATTAAATGAAGACTGTTAGGAAGAGAAATACAGTGTACAACTCCATTTGTTCAAAGACTTCCAACGCTTCCTAATTATTTCAGACATTTTTCTTAGATTCTTCATTATAGGAAACTTTAGAAAAAGTTAAGCAGGCAACAATAATTCATATTGTCATTAAAAAAATAGCTATTTCCCTTGTCAACATTATCAGTAAATTCTGCGAAAAAGCATCCAAATTTTGACAAATCGTACTAGTTTTGAAGGTAAACAATAACGACTATTCAACCACATAAAAACATCAAAATCGTTTTTTTTTGTCGAAAACTACGATTTTTGACAAGAAGAAATCTTAATAAGCAACTTTTTCAATCGAACAATAAGAAAACTGTAATATTATGAATAAGGTTTTTTGCTAGAAGAATGTCTGACAATGATATAACGTTTAAAAACTTACTATTTTATTTTTATTGGCTACTTTTTTGTTATTATGTTTCTATAGTAACTCTATTGTCCTTGAATAGCTAGACAATATGGTAATATTTTGTATGTTGATTTTTGTGTTCGGATTGTTTTTTAACATGTGTAGTGATAGAATGAAATAAAAAGAAGTCATCAACACTTCATTACTCTGTGAAATAAAAGTAGTCTTATTTTTTTCATGGCATCGAAAACATCACTTTTTGACTTACCAAATGAACTTTTTCCATGTATTTTTCAATATCTGAGCGCAATTGATCTCTTAAAAATATTTTCTGATTTTGAATCACGACGACTTCAAGCTCTCATTCAACCATTTATTGCACGATTAGATATTTCTCAAGAATCTAATGAATGGATTCAAAATTATCTACCAAATATATTGACAAAAAATAAAATTATTGCGCTTCGTCTACAAATGAATCATTTAGTTCTCATATCAGAACATTTACTATCAACTAATATTCAATCTATGCAAGTGACTAACTGGAATGTTTCAATTGATTTTTCAGAACAAATTATGGCTCAGCTTCGTCGAAATTTACAAAAGTTGTCAATCGTACAACCTGATGATAATGAATTTAGTGATCTAACTAGTCTATTGTTTCGATCTGATTCTCAATTGAAACATCTTATCATAAAGGATTGTGTTCTATATATTTTTAATGGTGATATTGAAACTTGTACTCGATTAACACATCTCTCAATTGAATTAGAAGGAATGAATCCAGTATTTATACTTATTGAACATTTACCCAATCTTGAAGAATTGAAAGTTTGATTAAATTTATGTTCTTCTTATTTCAAATTTTGAATAATTTTTATTTCTAGGTTAGAATTCACAGTCAAGAATGTATTGTTCAAACAGCACCTAATACAAATGGTGTAAAGCCATGTAATAAACTTCGTTCTGTTACTTTTACAGGTTGGATCAAATATTTTAATCATATGGAAAATTTCTTTGCTACATTTGGATCAACAATTGAATATCTTTCAATGAATATCGATTCTAGATATTACTTATTCGATGGTAAACAACTTGAGCATAGACTACTTGACAAGATGCCACGTTTATCTTCACTTGATTTAATCATTTTTTCACCATTAGTTGGTAATGATCCTATAGAAATCGAAACATTTCAAAGTTTTGCTTGGCAACAATTCAATCCTATTGCGTACTGGAATGATGTTCATGCTAAACAACATATGATTTTTACATTACCATACAAATCTGATCAAGTAAGATGTTGATTAACTAGTACAAAATAATACATATTGATCTTGTTTATTGATTATAGTTTGAATATTTTTCAAATGATTTTGTTTCAAATTGTGTATCAAATCGATCAATTTCAATTTGTTTTGAACGTGTTCGCATGCTCTCACTCATTCCTACAACACCATTAACTCTAGAAGCATTCCTATTTATTGAAAAAGTTTTTCCAAACGTTACAACAATTAATTTAACCCATTGGATTATTGATCTTTTAGATGAAAGTGAAGATGAAAAAGATAGAAATCTTACAGTTATGGATGAAGATCTTCTTTTAGATACTAGTTTACAAATACGATCCGTTACAAAATTCTGCATATCTTTATGGTCTCCATTTAATGATTATAAAACCTTTCGTCGGTTTGTTCAACTTTTTCCAAATTTAATTTGTCTCGAACTCGATATTGAATTATCACTTCTACATGATATTTTGAAACATGAACAAGAAGATAAATTTGTCAAAACTTTATTAGCTCGTATCGAACAATTGAATATTACGTATAGCGATGACAAAAATACGCTCATTGATGCTGAAATTTCTTATCTCTTTCCAAATGTCAAGAATCTTGTTAAGAAAAACCGTCATAATTTAGGGTGACTTTAGTTCCTATTCAATCGAATACTAAAATGACTGATAATAGTGTGTGGATTTTTTTCATTAATAAAAAGTTTCATTTTTGCTATACGATTGACCATTTTAATAGTATTGCTGATTTCTTTTTGAATAAAAAAATTTTTAAAATGCATTTATGTTTCAATAACTTACTAGGAATTTAAACCCTGAATTATCAAAAATCTTGCAGATTATGTAAAAACAAAACCTGGTTTATCGGTTCTCTTTATTTTATGTATGTCGTCAAATTTTTTTTCTTATCACACAAAGAAAAGAAAGAAAGCATGCTCACACGCGAACTGTGAGAGCGAAAAAGAAATGAAGTTATCGTCAATGCCACACAAAGAAAAGTATAAAAAGAGAATGAACTGTCGACATGGAGAGCAAGGAAGAAACATTTTCACTACATTTTTCTTTATAAATACAAATTTCTTGTTTTTTTTTTCTTACAGAATTTTCTAAAATAGTTGGCTGATTTTCTATCACTCAATGGGATGCATGCCGAGTAGAACCGCTTCTAGAGTTGACAACGTTGCAGACAATCCTGTTATGCGTCATCAACATATAACTACAGGTGGAAAATTTTCTAATGGAAGAGAACGCAATGATCTCGAAGCAACAGAAGGAGAAAGTAAGTTTCTTTTCTGTTTTTCGTTTTAAATTGTTTTGTTCAAAAAAAAAAAATAATTATTTCATATATATTCAATCGAATTATATAGGGATTGAGATGTATAGTGCTTTTATTAATGGAACCAGACCTGATGAAATAATACAAAAAGTGAAATATACGAATCTTTGACCTCTTCTATATAATATATTCTAGGGCATATCTTTTGATACAATTACCAATAAATGGCTAGAACCACCGATTGTTAAATCTATGAAAGATATTGATGATAAAAACTTCATTTTTACGATTAAAGTAAATTTTACTTTTTTAAAATTGATTGTTTATTGTTGCTTAGCCATGGAGATATGATCCATCTCGACCGGATCAAGAACCGAGACCTAGCAATGATGAAAGTGTTGATAATGATCTATGGGATGATGATCATGTTCGTGTGCCATGGTCACGATTCTATATATCTGTCAGTTAGGCCATATTGTTGTTATTATTTTATATTATTTTCTATTGATAAAGAGTAATCGAAAACCCATATGGCCTTTGATTTGTCAGTGGTTGACCTCTCTCAGAGATAAATGCGTTAGTCAAAAGGCTCAATTTAAAGATTTAAAAGTAATGAGTTAAAATTTTATTCGAATAAACAAAAAAAATATACTAGGCCACAATTGAAACGTGTAATGGACGTCGTTTTGATATGGAATGTTTAGAGAAGCTGATTAAGAAAGTTAGTTCTTTATTATAATTGTATTTATTTTGTCAATTCATTCTTATTTCAAGATCTATTCTGATGAAGAACGCGCTAATTTCATGTATATTACTCTATCTAAAATGTGTGATCTTGTATTACATATTGATTCAGTTTGCTCTCAGGTATATTTATACCTAATATTTTCATAAAAAATTATAGATTTATAATTTTTCAGCCACTATCATTATTACGTATTGAAACAAATCGTTCAATTACAATGTCACAACGTCAAGCTGCTTCATTGTTAGCTTGTGCATTTTTCTGTTTATTTCCAAATCGTTCTCATCAGACGTTAAGCAAAGAATATGAAAACTACCAAGATCCAAATTTTGAAACGTAAGTAATTATATATATTAATTATTTATTGCTCATAGTATTATCGTCAATTTTTGAAGATTATTTCAACATGGACCTCAAAGCAAAATAGAAAAACTGAAATGTATTTTACATTATTTTAGACGTGTTACAGAAACGAGTTTGTTTATAATAACTTTGTCTAATACATTTCTGTCATTTCATTTGTAGTGCCCAATGGTGTCATTACTATTCAACGTTTTGCATTATCCAGGAGTCGTTTTCCTCAATGGCCTGATTTAAACACAGGTCTCTGTGATTTACATTTGACAACGGGTAAAAAAATCGAAGATATCAATAGTGTATTACAAGTAAATATCAAGACTACCTTTACGCAGTCATTGATTTTGTTTTTTTAGGTTGACTTTGCTAATAAATATATCGTAAGTATCAAAAGAACAATGGTTGCTTTTCTATTACTAAAGTATTTTATAACAAAATTAGGGAGGTGGTGTTTTAAGTGCCGGTTGTGTACAAGAAGAAATTCGTTTTACTATTTGTCCTGAAATGCTTGTTAGTTTACTTGTTTGTGAAATGATGCAGAAAAATGAATGTATATTTCTTATTGGATGTGAACGATATTCATCATACAAAGGTTATGCCAATTCATTTCAATTTGGTGGAAATTATGAAGATAAGACACCTAGGTATAACATTTTTTTCTCTCAGTCTCGATTACAACTAAAACTTGACTTAGTCACTATGACTGAGTGACTATGTTGTTCAACACATATCCATAACGTAGTGTGTGTAAACCTCAATATCACTAACCATGAAATGACCGTGGACAAATCACTAACGGCTATTTATCTAGAATCACCCATACAATAGCATACTGACTACGTTATGACATACAGCTGTTCTTGTGGTTAGTTGGTGTGTATGGGAAAGATATCGGACTACTGAATCTGTCGCTAGGTAGCATCCTATACCACATGGCAGCTAACAAGCAGGAATATTCTTCTTTCTTCTTCGTCCTAAAACTTGAAGCACTTGATCTGATTTGTTGCAAGACGACAAAAGTCGAGATTTGAATAAAAAGTCTTTTTGTTTCTTTACAACTTCCTATCATGTTATGTTTTTTAGAGATAGTTGGGGTCGAAGATGGTGTCATGTAGTAGCTATGGATGCTATTTATTTTCGTAGACCTTCAGATCAATATAATATTAAACTTATCGAACGTGAATTACTTAAAGCCTATACAAGTTTTCGTCCACTCGGAAAGGGATCAGATTATGAGTTTGGTATTGCTACTGGAAATTGGGGTTGTGGAGCATTCAATGGTGATAGACAATTGAAAGGTATAAATTGTTCTGTAAAAAAAGTTAAGATACCATTATAATCATAAAATTTTAGCAATAATTCAATTGATGGCTGCTTCCGAGGCTAGACGTCCATTAATATATGCCGCTTATGGTGATAAAAATTTGATCACATCATTCTCTGTGCTTCATGACTACTTGAAAGAGCAAGGAGCAACAGTGAGGGATTTGTATTATTATCTGCACCGATATTGTGATGAACAACATCAAGAGCCATTATTTGAATACATTCTTATGACATCTGTTTCCAAACTTAAGTGTTAATATTAATTATCTTTTGGTTTTTTTTGAAATATATCTTCTGATACATCCGTGAAGAAAGAAATAGTTTACAGAAAAAAAGATACAAAAGATCACAATATATACTATATATAATTTGATCATTTCTAAAATTATGAGCGTATTACCTTTTATATCATCGTTGTAAAAACATGATGACATGTTCTTATATTCAAATATCGTAAGTTTTATTACTGCTTAGCTACAGCTAGTCTTAGTCACTTAAAATTATTTGATAATTGTAAATCATTTTATTGTCTTCCTTGTCATTTATTAAAGTTTATTCATCTACATGATACTTTAAAACATGCACACAAAGATTCTTAGGTAACAACTGCATTTACTCATAACATATGTTGCAAAAGAAATGGAAAAAAATGTCAAACTCTATTAGATTATATTGTTGACTTCTACAGTAATCAAATATGTTTCTGCTGGAAAAAGCAGTGTCTCAACTATAAATTTTGTATCAAACATATTTTTCCAAAACTATGATACTCTCTATGAAATTTTCTAATCGAAATTGAATAATCGTCCTGACGATAAGAGAAGCAAATTCGCAGTTTTTGTATTCGGTGACTAGGGTACCCTACTCATCTCTAGGACGATTACAGTCCATTGATCTAAAACTTTCGACTTCAGTTAACAGAACAAGTTCAAACTAGGACCTGATGGGCTTTCATTGAAAGTTAAATTTGCTCTTGCTTTTGTACCAAACGATCGCTTTTAGTGAGAGAGATGAAATAATTTCGTCGTTCACAAACTATCTGGCCATATTGTGATGGTAAAAGTTATTTTTTAAATTATCTTTTTTTCTAAGCTAAGTTTTTATGATCGGACATATTTCGGATATATAGTGTAAAAAAGAATTGAGTTCATGCATGGTTTTTTGGAGATAATGGTCGATGTTCTTTGAAATTTATAGTTCTAGATACAGACCTTATTTTAGAAACATTTCATTTTTCAAATCTTTTTCATTGAAGAGTATGGAACGAATCTAAGAAATTTTAACAAAAATAAGATGATAGAGGTTTTGATGAGCTATGTTTTTATGCGTTTTTTTAATAGTTTTAAGTCATGCAGCCCAAACTAATTGAAAATAGCAGCTTTCCAAGTTGCAACAACTTTTCCAAGATGCTTAGATTTTTGACTTGGCCACTTTCGGAAGTTCGTTGTGAAAAAATATGTTTGGTGCGAAATTCGTAGCTCGAACATTACTCTTTCCATAAAAAAAAGCAATTGCTTTAGCTTTCAACAGTTCTCAAGTTTTGCTCACACAACCTCATGCGTTTGTTTTTGTTTTTTTTTCTGTTCTGCTTCATGATAGGTTTTTTTCAATAGCGAAAGAAAATAAATGAAGTGTGTACATCGTGCACGCATCCATTTACTCGTAACATTTTTTTTAGAAAAAACTATGTTCGTTTTTTCTGAAGGTTTTGGGTAATAGTAAATGATTCTTTTTTCTTCTGCGGTCTGGATTAAATCATCAGATGTTGTCTAAATAAATTAATTTTAGAAAAAAAAACTTCATAAAAAGTTCTGCAATATGGCCGAGCAACCTTTAGATTTACAACAAAATAAAGAAGAGGTTGATGATGTTGAGTCAACCTCGGAAGAAAGTAAGTCATGATTGCACTTGGACGTTTTTTTTTTATTTAATAAATACATATTGTTTGTTTAACAGATTTAGATATAGAAATAGTTGACCCTTGTCTCAATGATGAAGGAATTGTAGAGATAATATCTCAAGTAAGTTTTATAATATTTTATTTTTCATGTCTGCATATTCTGTTCTAGGGTACACCCTTAGAGACAATTTTGAATATTCATCCTCAACCACCATATGTACAAGATATGGAACAAATTCAAAATAATAATTTTATATTCATGATCTCAGTAAACATTTAATATTATGAGAATAATTTTTATCTGTTTTAATAGCCATTCAAATATGATCCATCAAATCCTGAACGTGAACCTTCAACAAGTTGTGTTCAAAATCGATCTGTTGATCAATTGGATTCAGATCCTGTTTTTATGCCATATTCATCATACAATCTTACTGTAAATGATTATCATTCTCATATTTATTTAATATTATTCGAGTTCTATCTTATTGAAGCGAAATAAACAATCGATATGGTTACTTAATCAGCAATCATTAATTAATCTTAAGAATATGTGTGATAATCATACGGCTACCATAAAAGATCTAAAAGTGAATACAATAATGTAGTTGTTTGTATAAACAACAAGAAAACTCATTCGATTAATACTTTCCGTTTGAACTCATGGGTAATACACAAACTGCAGACCAAAATCTTGGAAGGGTTCATGAAAATTAAGTTTTTCTTCCCCAGTTATGGTCATTTTACTGATCATTCAGACTATTGCAGGATATAACGAGAGAAACCACATCAAGTAGTTTCGGTCTAAATTTCTCCTCAACAATAGTTCTTATAGTAGCCTGAAAATTTTAGCTCAAACGGATGTTTTCCTGCTCAGATAACATGTTTTTGAAAAATATGTTACTTTCAGACAAGAGCTCCAACAATGGCCTAGCTTTAAGCATACGACCTCGTAAGACGATATCATTCTTTTAAGCTGAAAATTTCAGGATATCATACGAGCCATGATAACTATGGTTGAAGAGAATTTCAGACCAAAACTTCCTGTTACAATTATATTTTTCAATATTTTTATCTGCACTATGAGTCATAGATATGAAATCAAACGGAGATTATCAATCGAATGAATTCTCTCGTAAATTAACACTATTATGATAGAAAACAATTCGAGATTGCGCGCATTGTCATTATAATTTGGACTCTCTACAAAAGTTAATTGATGACGTAAGTTTTTTTCTCATTTTCACAATGCACATTAGTTGATGATTACTTCAAGGTTTATTCAAACGATGAACGTGCTCATTTTATGTCGACTGTTCTATCCAACATTTGTTCTCTTGCACTTAATGTGAATACAATTTGTAGTCAAGTATTGATCTTTGTCTTATTTTGTTTCCCTATATAAAAGATACTATGTTTTAGCCACCACCATTATTACGCACTGGAACAAATCGTTCAGTCACAATGTCACAACGACAAGCTGCTTCATTGTTAGCTTGTGCATTTTTCTGTTTATATCCAAATCGTTCTGATAATAAACAGAAGAAAGGATATCGCAATTTTCCAAATCCAAATTTCAATGCGTAACTACATGTCATTTATTTATTATTATTTTTTTAAATTGAGATCTTATGAATTTAAAGATTATATCAAAGTGGACATCCAAAAAAAATAGAAAAACTCAAATGTATTTTTCATTATTTTCAACGTATTACCGAAAAAAGTGAGTGTATGATTAGTTCATTTCTTCCTTTAGTGCTGGTAAAATTTAGTGCCAAATGGTGTCATTACTGTTCAACGTTTTGCATTACCTAAACATCTTTCTCCACAATGGGCCGATTTTACAACCGGTCTCTGTAACTTGCATTTGACAACAGGACAAAAAATCGAAGATATCAATAATGTATTACAAGTATATATCAAGACTATTTTTACACATGCATTGATTTTGTTCTGTTTTAGGTTGACTTTGCTAATAAATATATTGTAAGTATCAAAGAACAACGGTTGCTTTTCTATTACTAAAGTATTTTATAACAAAAATTAGGGAGGTGGTGTTTTAAGTACCGGTTGTGTACAAGAAGAAATTCGCTTTAGTATTTGTCCTGAAATGCTTGTTAGTTTACTTGTATGTGAAAAGATGGAGGTCAATGAATGTATCTTTCTTATTGGATGTGAACGATATTCATCATACAAAGGCTATGCCAACTCATTTCAATTTGATGGAGACTATAAAGATAACACACCTAAGTAAGAAATGTTTTCAATCAAATCTATCTCATAGCGTTTTACAAACAATTGAAATAAACAAAAAGATAGTTGAATTTTTTCAGTCAAAAATAATTAGTTTTTGCTGTTAGATTTCATATTTTTAACTAAATACGTCATATTGTCAGAGATGATTGGGGTCGAAAATGGTGTCATCTTGTAGCAATGGATGCGATTTTCTTTCGTCATGCATCGACACAATATGATATGCATTGTGCAGATCGTGAACTACTCAAAGCTTACACTAGTTTTCGTCCACTAGAACAAGGATTAGATTATGAATTTGCTATTGCTACTGGAAATTGGGGTTGTGGTGCATTTAATGGTGATAAATATGTGAAAGGTATAGATTTATTTACAATGATGAAGTTTTTCTTCTGGGCATATTTTCTTTTTTTAAGCCATCATCCAATTAATGGCTGCTTCTAAAGCTCGACGTCCACTTATCTATGCAGCTTATCGTGATAAAACTTTAGTGCATTCATTTGGTGTAGTATATGAATACTTGAAAGCTCACAACGCAACAGTGGGAGGTTTATATTTATGTCTTGAACAATACTTTACTCAAGTTGATCGAGGGTCACTATTCGAATATATTCTGAACATACCTGTTTCATTTCTTAAATCTTAATATTGTTTTTCTTAATATAAATTATTCAAGATAAAAAGTAAATAGTTATAATAAAAATGTTCAATCAAGATATGTATATATACAGGGTGATTGAAAAGTAACTTTCTATTTAAAATTCTTTATTACTATCAAACAACGAAAGATATCGTCCTGATTTTTTCACCATTTTGACGTATGGACTATAGCATTTTGTTCTAGATGAAACAAATTCGTTGATCGTTTGGCTGTCTAAGATCAAACCCGAATTTTGTCTTGATAACATCTGGAAAAAACTCATTATTTTTAGTAGTTTATTATTTTTGTACTAGAATCAGGATGTGAGTATGAGTGTGCGTATAGGCGTCCGGTGTGTATGTAAAGTTGGAATGTGTGTTTGAACAATGCAATAATGTTCACCCAAACCCACACACCCACATCCTGATTCTAGTACAAAAATAATAAACTACTAAAAATAATGAGTTTTTTCCAGATGTTGTCAAGATAAAATTCGGGTTTGATCTTAGACAGGCAAACCATCAATGAATTTTTTTCATCTAGAACAAAATGTTATAGTCCATACTTCAAAATGGTGAAAAAATCAGGACGATATCTTTTGTTGTTTGAGAGTAATACAGAATTTAAAATAGAGAGATACTTTTCAATCACCCTGTATATTGGAACTAATGGCGATTCAACATTATGAGATCACAAACAAAGTCCATAATTAACAACTAATTGGGTTTCGTGCAGAAAACTTCAATAACACTTTATAAATATATTTTCTAGCGTTTTTATTTTTTTTTGCAATCTTTTAGCCAAGAAAAAAAAAAGTAAAATCTGTTTAAGGTGCTCGCACTTCAAAATACGATCAAAATCTTTGGATCATAGTTAGATGAATCTGGTCGATTTACCTAGAGTGTGAGTGTGGAGGTCGATGTCGGTGTACATGTGCGCGAACGCATGACCTATGCTCCCACCTGCAAACAAACTCACGCCGACACTCAACCTCAGTAAATGAAGCTCACACTCGTAGAAAAGCTACCCCTACAATTGGACACTAGTGCCTGAAAATGTCATAAACAAACTATTTATTGATTTGAAAATTGCATAGCTATGACCATCGTGTTGATGATGAAGCGAAAAATTCAGAAATATCCGAAAATACCAATATTCGAGTAAATTTGGTAAGAAAGTAGTGCAAAATTGACTAGGCAATCTTTTCAGGTTAAACTGATTGATGCAAAAATAGGTATCATTCATCATAATTATCTTGGTACTTAAGCAATCGAATCATAATTGTGTCTGTGATCTAAACATTTGATGAACGTATGTACACAAAAATATTCAGCTCTCTAGCATTCATAATGGCTGAGGCTCTCTAGGTTGCAGATTTTTGTGAATAATATTAATGAGAAAATAAGTCAATAGAGATGACTCAAACAACTAAAATCGCTGGGATTGAGACCACTTGAAAAGAAGCTACTGAAACCAAACAAACTTGGTCCTGTACATTTTCATCAACTACATATTACTTAAAATCCTCCGTTTCATACTTAAAAATGAATATGAAAACAAAAAGAAATGTATTGTAGATACTGAACTTTGCGTAATTAAATCATGTTCAATGAAAACAATATGTTGCGTACTAAAGAGATTTGTCGTGTATATCTACAGCTAAAAAATTTTCTCTATTGGCATAACAATCACACTGAATGAATTTTGTTCGTTGCCAGTTCAATAGCACATTTATAATAACAATAAACTTGAAGAAAAAGCGAAACATAGAATAGGGATTGGTATTATATCTTTGCTTTAGCCAGTAAAGTAAAATGAATTTAATTACTTAAAATTAATCGTTGACTTTCTAGCCCAGCATCGTACAATGATAATGGTGCTGCACCATTATGAAACTATAATGTTAGACTCCAAAATCAACATTAAACTTTAAGTAATTAAATTTACTTTACTTTTTCAAAGTCAAACAAAGCTAAAATGCCAACTTTAGCATGGAAACATTATCTAATAATAATTAAATTTGATCAAATCGATCAAGTTATGTCTTCGCATGTTTTCAATTCTTTTTCGATTATATGACACATTTGCATCTATTAATATTGATTGTATGAATTTCGCAAAAAAAAACGTCACTATTCTTTTCTCTATCCTCCTTTTGCTTTCAAATAAGGTTTTTTTCTTCTAGTAAAAGAATAAAAAAATCAAATATTTGTATAGTGCACGAAAGAAATACCTTGTTGGTAGTTGCAAACATCTACTTTACTTATGTTGTGAAAGAAAGCGCACGTGGTTCTCATTTTACTCGGAGTAAAATACTCAACTAGTCAAAACGATTCACGTCATACTATGCATGATCGATTTGGTGCTTCACGGCCACGCATAAAACGCGATGATCGTGTATCAACTCCAAGGAGAAGTACGTTAGATTTGCGCACGTTTTTAATAGAATTTTTTCAGAAAGTTTTACACATAACATAATGTAGGAATTGCGTTCAATGATGATATTAGCAATGTAGATGAAACTCATGACAAAATATCAAAAGTAAATTTCACGAGTCAGTTCTGTTTTCATTTCAAAATATTGTTTTGTAGGGTACACCCTTGAACATGATTATCAATTCTTATCGTCGACCTCCTCTAATGGTCGATATGGAAAAAAATCAGATTAATAAACATATATTTATGATTTCAGTGAGCTATTTTTTTCTATTGAAGAAAGTAAAATTATTATTTTGTTTTGAATAGCCATTCACTTATGATTCATTGCATTCCAATCATGAACCAAAGCCGTTGTATTCAGGTTTTTATGTTGATCGATGGGATAAAAATTATGTTCGTATGCCATGTTCACAAAACTATATTTTTGTAAATTAAAATACTCTCAATATTTTCTATACATTAATTTCTATTGATAAAGAGAAATAGACAGCCTATGTGGTCGATAATTGCTGATCAATTGGTTCATCTCAAACAAAAATGTGATAAAAAACAGGCTACTGTTGAAGATTTAAAAGTAATTATTTTCCATTTATACTGTAATTTCAATAAACGAAATATTACAACAGATGACAATTGAAAACTGTGCTGGACATCATTATGATATGTATTGTCTGGAAACATTAATTAATAAAGTAAGGGATTTTTTTCTTGTAATTGTAAAAGCTAATCGACAATCATTAATAGATTTATTCACACGATGAACGAACTCATTTTATGTCGACTGTTCTATCCAAAATGTGTAATCTTGCACTTCACGTGGATACAATTTGTAGCCTAGTATTGATTTTTGTCAGGTTTTGCTTTCATATATGAAATATAAAATGTTTCAGTCATTTCCATTATTACGCATTGGAATGACTCGTTCAATTACAATGTCACAAAAACAAGCAGCTTCATTGTTAGCTTGTGCATTTTTCTGTTTATTTCCATATCGTTCTAGTAATGAACAGAATGATGAATATGAAAATTTTCAAGATCCAAATTTTAATCAGTAAAACTACATAGTTAATAATTTTCTAATCTATAATCTAATTGTTAAGACTATACAAATATGGACCTCCACAAAAAATAGAAAAACTCAAATGTATTTTACATTATTTTCAACGTATTACAGAAGAAAGTGAGTATAGGATTATTTCACTTCTCTCTCTCTGTGCTAACACTACTACAATTTAGTGCCCAAAGGTGTAATTAGTTTTGGACGCTTTTCATTACCTGTCAATTCCATCCCAGATTGGTCAAGTTCAATCAAAAATCTCTGTGGTATACATTTGACCACGGGTGAAAAAATCGAAGATGTAAAATGTGCTCTACAGGTAACTTAAACGATTAGTTTTCATGTATTTGTAATTCTTTGTGCTGTTAGGTTGATTTTGCTAATAAATATATTGTAAGTGTCTAAGTAATCATATTCATTGCTGTTTTTCTTACTGAAATATTGTATAAAAAATTAGGGAGGTGGTGTTTTAGGTGCCGGTTGTGTACAAGAAGAAATTCGTTTTACTATTTGTCCTGAAATGCTTGTTAGTTTACTTGTATGTGAAAAGATGGAGGTCAATGAATGTATCTTTCTTATTGGATGTGAACAATATTCATCATACAAAGGTTATGCCAACTCATTTCAATTTGATGGAGACTATAAAGATAACACATCTAAGTAAGAAATTTTTCCAATCAAATTTTATAATAATTGTGTTTTATAATCTATAAAACTAATGATCATCATAGAGAAGATATTTTTGATGCATGTTGAAACTTTCTTTTTCTTCAGTTTGACATTGGTCTTCAAACTAGATTTGTTTCTTATAGAATAACAGACGTTATCATTAAAATTTAATTCTTGAAATATTCTAATACATAGTAAACTACTTAGTTTTCATAAGTATAGATACATGATAAACATTCAAAGAAATATATATCAATCTATTGAATTTAACATTGCCATCATTAAACTAGTCTTCGTAAATATTTCACGTATTTAGAGATAATTGGGGTCGAAAATGGTGTCATGTCGTAGCAATGGATGCTGTTTGTTTTTATGATCCAACCTTACAATATGATATGAAATATGTGCAACGTGAGTTAATCAAAGCTTACACAAGTTTCTATCCTCAAGCAACGAAAATCGAAAGAGAAAATATGTTTGGTATTGCTACTGGAAATTGGGGTTGTGGTGCATTCAATGGCGATAGACAATTGAAAGGTAAAATTTAACAAACTATCAAATAAAGTATTATTCAAATATATTTATTTTTAGCAATTATTCAATTAATGGCCGCTTCAGAAGCTGGACGTCCACTAATTTATGCAGCTTATCTAGATAAAAATTTGGTTAAATCATTCTATGAAGTTTATGAATATTTATTCAGTCAACGAGCAAGAGTACGGCATTTATATCGATATCTTGAACGTTATTCTATAGAAAATAATCGAAGATCGCTATTCGAATATATTCTTAAAACACCAATGTCTTCTCTTCAGTCATAAATTTTCGTTTTTTTGTGTTT